AGAACAACACACACACACACACACACTTCTAAAATTTAGCAATTTGCCATCAAATTTCAATGGACAAGCTCTCATGGACTATAGAAAATAGGTCTGAACCATGGAAAGTGTGCCCGGATAATTGCCCATTCAGTCCTATTCAGTCAATATAGACAGTTGAGTGCTTGATGGGAAAATAATAATAATCCCAATTTCAATTGTTCCCAAAGTGTTATTGAAAGGCTATTTCCCTTTTTTCTCTCAAATGTGTGCAAATACTTGTACACAGATTAAGGGTGAAAAGTCCTTCCTGTTCAAAAAGGAATTTTGGTGAGTTAGTATATTTAATTGTATCATGGTTTATTTTTATTTTTTTAATAAAATTTTATTAGGGTTTTCACAAAACAAAAGAAAAATAAAACATCTTTTTTTAGCGAACAGCATAGTTCCAGGTTTTCACATCTCCATACAGATATAATCTCAGTTACATATTCATCTTTCATATTCAATTCCATATCTTATCACTATTTTATATATTCTCTATTAATTTTTTTCTCAAATACTTCCCTCAGGCTTATTTGATAGCTTTCTCATTCATTTCTATTTCATTTCCTTTTCAAAATTTCCATATCTTCATAATAATTATACTTGTACTTTTATCTGTCCTGTTTTCAATTTCATTGTATATTCTTATTTCACCATTTCCCAAAAAATTCCTCCACATTCAAACATTACAAAACAAGGTTTCCCCTATGGTTGCCAATTAGAGTGTGTCCCCTTCATATCTTATAATTAGTTCCCTTTCAAATCCCATTAAACATTCAACTTTTAAATTGTCCCCTTAAACAGTTATAACATTCAGCTCCTAATAACTATATTATAATATTTTATAATATAACTATATTACAACATAATTATAATATTATAATATATTATAATATAACTATATTATAACATGGTTTATTTTTTAATGGTCAAAACTTTGCACATTATTTAAACAGGGCAGAGAAAGAATCTTGCTGGGGTCATATTGTTTTAAATCAATTCATAACTGTATAGAAAAAAAAGGGATCCAGTGAATTCAGTCCATTAAAGTAGCTTGCTCAAAGCTTAGAACAAGCAAGAATTTGATAGTGCCAATGGAAGTTGGTGCTTAAAATACATTGCAAACTGGGCATCTGATGCTTGACTATGGCACGGTTGTGCCGAGGAGAGTTTCCTGATGCGTCAGGATCAGTTCATCCTAGCTAGGATCAATTCATTCTAGCTATTAGTTGATGTGGATGAAGCAAATGCCATTGGAAGGGATTGTTCCAGGACATTGACACACTGCAAAATGTCTGCTAATAATTGTTCACTCTGAATTAGCGTTATCCTTGTGTATAGTTGGATTGTTCTTTGCAGTCTCAGAATTTATATTTAAATTTTTATTGAAGGCTTTTCTCTTTACGTTTGTTTTAATTCAGCATTTCTATTTTGTTTTATTTCTTTCATTAGAGTATACAGTAAAACACTATGAACCTCGCAGTGGTGGGATTCAAAAAAATTTACTACTGGTTCTGTGGGCGTGGCTTGATGAGCGTGGCATGGCTCGGTGGGCATGGTTTTGTGGGTGTGGCAGGGGAAGAATACTGCAAAATCCCATTCCCTCCCCACTCCACTAACCTGCTTTCCAGCTCCGTTCTTCTGTACAGGGCACCAAAAGAAGACCCAGCCGATCAGCTGGGACTCGGGAGGCAGAGAATACTGCAATACTGTTGAAGACCATTACAACATAGTTTTACTTGAAGTCAAAAGAGTCATCAAACTATATGTACCAACAACAACTCCCAAAACAAAACAAAAAACAGATTACCCATAACAATAAGGAAACTTCAATCCAAAAAGAGATCACTCTGGTGGAAAAACAAATCTGGTCACGTTGCCACTTTCAAAAGCCGATACAAAAATTTATGCCACTAGATAAAGACTGAATGCACCAATTATCACATTAAACAAGAGGAAAACCTTCTATGCACCAATTCCACCCACGCTTTTTACAATTTTGTAAACAACAAACTAAAAGACTCAAGGTCCATCCCACCCCTGATAGGAACTAATGGTAAAGACTGCAATGACGACACCATTAAAGCCAACCTCTTTAACACATTCTTTGGCTCAGTATTTGTAAACAGCAATGGATCATGTCCAGTATTTCCTAGCCGACCTACAGACAACTACAGTGATCTAATACGTATCGATTTTACAGAAGACAATGTTGAAAAAGCACTACGCAATCTAAAACCATCTCTATCTATTGGACCTGATGGAATATGTGCCTACTTCTTAAAAAAGCTATCCACTGCCATAGCCGAACCTCTAAGCATAATCTTTGAAAAATCTTTCAGGACCAGCTCCTTGCCTAACCTATGGTCACAAGCCATGGTCATCCCCATCTTCAAAAAGGGAGACCCCAGCCTAGTTCAAAATTACAGACCAATCTCTTTATGCTGCATCACCTGTAAAGTCATGGAATCAATTATTAACCAATCCATTATCCTCCAATTAGAGACAAACAACCTACTCTCCAATAAACAATTTGGTTTCAGAAAAAATACTATCCTGTAATCTGCAACTCTTACACTGCAAAAACATATGGACTACACAACTCGATCAGGGCAAAACAATAGATGCAATCTACATAGACTTCTGTAAAGCCTTTGATTCAGTGGTACACGACAAACTACTCCTAAAACTAAAATCTTATGGTATCTCTGGACAACTGCATAATTGGATAGAAGCATTCCTGTCAAACAGACAACAAATTGTCAAAATTGGGAGTGTCCTATCAAATTCTGTACCTCTCAATAGTGGTGTCCCCCAAGGCAGTGTTCTAGGACCAACTCTCTTCATACTCTACATAAATGACCTCTGTGATCATATTAAGAGCAACTGCGTTCTTTTCGCTGATGATGTAAAGCTGTTCAATACCACAGACAATACTTCTACCTTTCAAAAAGACCTTGACTATGTATCAGAATGGTCAAACAAATGGCAACTTCAAATCTCAACAAATAAATGCTCTGTCCTACATATTGGCAAAAAAAATCAGAAAATAAAATAAAATCAGAAAATAAAATAAAATCAGAAAATGAAATAAAATCAGAAAATAAAATAAAATCAGAAAATAAAATACAAGTCAAGATCTTGTTGATGATCCAAGCTCTGTAAAGGGCCTTGGAATACTCATCTCTAATGATCTAAGTGCTAGAGCCTACTGTAACTACATAGCCAAAAAGGCATTAAGAGTTGTTAACCTAATCCTATGTAGCTTTTTCTCTGGTAACATCACACTACTAACTAGAGCATACAAAACATTTGCTAGACCAATACTCGAATACAGATCATTAGTCTGGAACCCACATTACGTATCTGATATTAACATAGTTGAGAAAGTCCAGAAATATTTCACAAGAAGAGTTCTCCACTCCTCTACTCGTTGTAGAATACCTTATGCCACCAGACTTGAAACTCTAGACCTAGAAAACCTAGAACTACGCCGCCTCTGGTCCGATCTAAATATAGTCTATAAAATCATACATTGCAATGTCCTACCTGCAAATGAATACTTCAGCTTTAATCATAACAATACAAGAGCACACAATAGATACAAACTCAAGATTAACCGTACCTAACTTGACTGCAGAAAATATGACTTCAACAACAGAGTGGTCAATGTCTGGAATACTCTACCTGACTCTGTGGTTTCTTCCCCAAACCCCAAAATCTTTAACCTTAGACTGTCTACTATTGACCTCACCCCTTTCCTAAGAGGTCTGTAGGGGGGTGTGCATAAGCGCACCAACGTGCCTACCGTCCCTGTCCTATTGTTTCTTTTTATTTTTCTTATATGTACCCATTTCATGTATTCATAACTATGTATATACTTGTACCTATTATCTTGTAAGCGATTGACAGATCAAATAAATAAATAAATTAAATAAAGAATAGGTGGGGGAGGGGCCAATCAGAGATGGTATTTGCTGGTTCTCTAAACTACTCAAAATTTCTGCTACTGGTTCTCCAGAACTGGTCAGAACCTGTTGAATACCACCTCTGGTACTTCGTCTTGAGATCAAGGAGAATATCTTAATTTGTGCTCCACCCGGACATTCCATTTCAAATTTATATCATTTCTCCACCAGCCAGAATGCTGGGTTCTAGGCTCTCTTCCACAAAATTTAGATTTTTCTGTAGCTTTCTTTGTGTTGGATGGTTCTCACAATAAAAACTGTAAACATAGCAAAATATTGAAGTCTGCAGAATGAATGGAAAGACAAGCAGTATTTTCTGCTTACATTCTTCTCAATATAACAATAGAATGTTAACAAAAGCCTTTGGTTGTATGTCTTTCTTTTTGTGATTACATTAATTTATTTTATTGCAAGCTGCTGCAGATACATTTTTGCTGAAATGTGGGATATAAACATTGCATTGCTTCTATCCCAAAAGCCATGGTGGCACAATGGTTAGAATGCAGTATTGCAGGCTAATTCACGATTCACTCCAGAAATTTGATTCTGACTGGCTCAAGATTAGCTCAGCCTTCCATCCTTCCGAGGTGGGTAAAATGAGGACCCAGATTGTTGGGGGCAATAGGCTGACTCTGTAAACTGCCTTAGAGAGGGATGTAAAACACTCTGAAGTGGCATATATGTCTAAGTGCTATTGCTATTACAACACAATATGAAGTCATTGCAATCACATTGTGCCCACCATAATGTTGCTAGCTTCCAAGAAATATGCACACGCATAAGAAGAGATTGCTAGCATTAGAATTCCATATAGGTGAATGGCATGAAAAAGATAAGATATAATGTAAAAAAATAATAATTGGGTTTTAGATCATTGCTTGTCTACTGCTTAGGACAGCTAAGGGGTTTTATCCTTACCAATAATAGAGATGATTGGGAAGAGTAAATCTAGTTGACTAGATGCAAACTGCTTTAACCAAACATTATTTTGATCCTTCTTTACCGCAGAACCGAGTGCAGCCCCTACTGATGTCAAGGCTACAGGACTGTCAGTATCAGAGATTCTTGTTGCGTGGAGTCACAACAAAGATAGCCTGGGAAGGCCCCAGGGATTTGAGGTATTAATATAAAATATATTCTAAGTTTTCTGAATCCCCATGAGGGTCCTTTTCTCCCTGACCAGCTAAAAGCATTGTTTGAAATCAAGATTTAAGTATTTAGAACAGGGGTGTCAAACTCGATTTCATTGAGGGCCACATCAGGGTTGTGTTTGACCTCGGGGGCCAGGGTGGGCATAGCCAGGTCGACTCACTTGGGTTCGGGGTGCCTGTGATGAGCACTCTGCCAGAGAAAATGGGCTCCCAATCTCCATTTTCGGATGCAATGGCCCCCTGCAACCCTCTGCCAGTGAAAACAGAACTCCATTTTTGCTGGAAGAGGCACTGTGAGCCGGTCCTTCGTTGTTCCCAGGACAGCCCCGCAGGCCAGAACTAAGCATCCTGTGGACCAGATCCGGCCCGTGGGCCTTGAGTTTGACACCCTTGCTTTAGAATATGTTGGTAGCAAAGAAGACCGTAACTCACTCAGGATTGAACTACCCATTATATTAAGCAAGGCGTTAAATCCCTAGACCCGTGGTGGCGAACCTATGGCATGCATGCCGGAAGTGGCACGCAGAGCCATTACTGCCAGCATGCAAAGCATTCACCCAGAAAAAGTCTACTGTGCATGCGCACACGCCGCCCGCCCACCTGCCAGCTGATTGTCGGGTATCTGGCGCGCATTTGTGGGGGCGCGGCAGCACACAGGAAACACTCGCACATGCGTAGAAGTGCATGGAGGGTGTCATGCCCACATGCGCAGAAGTGCGCAGCGTGGGTCATGTGCATTGCACATGCATGCACAGAAACGGGGGGGGTCACACGAGTCACGCAGGTTGCCGCACATGCACAGGAGGCATGGAGGGGGCATGTGCATTGCCTTCTGGGTGATGGCACGCGAGCACGAGCAGGCAAGCGCGCACACAATTCTCGGCATGGGAGCCCAAAATGGTTAGCCATCACTGCCCTAGACTGTTAGGCATAGCTTTCATAGCTCCTAGTCCATCTGATGCAAACAAATTATAAGCAAGGTGGTTTCCTGAAGGTTTTTTTCAAACGTTTGCTCCCCTTCATCTGAAAAAATATTTGTTGCACTTTGACTGGTTACAAGTGGTCCTTGACTTACGACCACAATTGAACTGAAAATTTCTGTTGTGAAGTGAGTTTTGCCCCATTTTATGAGCTTTCTTGCCACAGTTGTTAAGTGAATCACTGCAGTCAATAAACACAGCTGTTAAGTCCTCAATGTATGACCATAACTGAGCTTGTCAGAAGGTCGCAAAAGGGGATCACAGGACCTTGGACACTGCAACCGTCATAAGCATGAATTGGTTGCCAAGCACCTGAATTTTGATCACATGATCATGGGGAGGTTGAAACGGTCATTACTGTGGAAAACGGGTCATTAGTCACTTTTTTTCAGTGTCGTTGTAACTTTGAACAGCCACTGAATGAACTGTTGCAAGTCGAAGGCTACCTGTATCAAAGCATTCCTTAGCGTGGCAGTGGTTTTCTTTTTATGCATCCCACACTACAAGGAGCATGGCTTGAGGGACCATCTCACTCCACTGGAATTGGCCCGTCCCACTTGTGTCAGCAGAGGAAATATGCTATGGGTCCTGGCAACTGGATTCTTCCAACGGGTAGGGTCCAGGACAGTGAGGGGGGCTTCTCTGGTGTTGCTCCTGCCCTCTGGAACATCTTATCTGTATTATCTGAAATGGTTTCCATTCGCCCTTCTCGACAATTTAAGTATCCAACAAAGACTAGTCTTGTTAACAGGAGTGGTGTAGATAGAGTCATAGATAATTTTATGACAGTGGTATCGAATGCACACGATAGCAGCAATTTTAGACTCACACTAACATTTTGAGAGCAAATTGTTGCTCTACACAGACGCAGAGGCGAACCCTGCATAACATCTAGTACAAAGAGCGTAGCTGCACTGAATGAATTACAAAGGAGCTGTTCTGTATTCATACGTTCCAAGCCTATAATCCCAAGAGTAGGAGAAGCTCAGAAAAGGCATACTGACAGCCAGGCTTGTAAACATTAAAAACTATTTCGGCCTCATGTGGAAAGGAAGAGAAGTTATTCCAGAGAGAGGTTTTTTTTTTTCCCCTGAATTACACTCAACAGAAACCCGTTCCTCTCAGAGTAACACAAATCAAATCCTCTCCCCTTCTCTCTATCCCTCAGCGATCCTGGTTCGGTATGATTAGACCACTGCAATGTTTCCTCAGGTGTTTTGTCATCTCCAATTCATTATATGGATGAGGAGTTTCTTCTTCTGTGCACTATGGTTGACAGGGAAGGAAATATTGTTTCTCACATTTCCTCACTGAATTCAGTCAAAGAGGGCTAAGGACGAATAACTGATTTCTTTGAACACCCACCCATGTGGGCTATCCTTGAGACTTTGAATTTACTCTGGAATTCCTGGCTGCATTCATTCTGGTTTATCCCTATTTACTGGCTACCTCCTGTATGCAGGAGGCAGCAGCAAAAGCATGATAAATGACAGAAATATCAGAACATACTGTAGAAGGCAATCTGGAGCAGAAGAGTAGGGGTGAGGTAGTGCTTAGAATGGTGAGTTTTTTAAAAAATGCAGTTTTATTTATTTATTTATTTATTTATTTATTTGATTTGCCAATTGTTTACAAGATAATAAGTATAAGCATATACATAGTTGTGAATACATGAAATGGGTACATATAAGAAAAATAAAAGAATAAGAGAAACAATAGGACAGGGACGGTAGGCACGTTGGTGCGCTTATGCACGCCCCCTACAGACCTCTTAGGAAGGGGGTGAGGTCAATAGTAGACAGTCTAAGGTTAAAGTTTTTGGGGTTTACTCAGCAGTCTACAACCATCTATTTTCTAGCTAAATGGGGAGCAAGCTCCACATTCACTAGCATTGACAATGTTACATAGTTGGCTAGGGTGGAATGTAGTTTGGGGTCCCAAAGGGAGGGGTTGCTTCCCAGAGGTAAAGGGGCAGCAGAGCTTAGAAAGTTTGGTAGACAGAGGAAAGTCAAGATGGCCGCTCACTAGCAATTTATATAGATTATATAGGCAGGAAGTTAGATAGATGATAGATAGATAGATAGATAGATAGATAGATAGATAGATAGATAGATAGATAGATAGATAGATAGATAGACGGACGGATGGATGATGGATGGATGGACGAGAGAGTGAGAGAGAGATGCAGATAGTTGCTTTAGTGTGGCAAGATTCTGTCTATAGGTGAACAGCATTAAAGGAAACAAAAGTAACTCCATGTGTCATTCTTGAGGCCTCACGCCAGTCTTGCCAGACTGAAGCAACTATCTGCATAATTATAAATATTCTCTGTGAACTGCTAGGGAGGGGCTGTCTTGATCCACTTCCTACCTACCAAACTTTCCAAATTTGGTTGCCTCTTTGACCTCTGGAAATCAGACTCTTCCCCCGGGGACTTCAGATTACATTCCACCACATCAGGTAATGGAATGTCTGCAAGCAAATAACCAAGCTCAGAGAGTTCCAAAGACTCAACTAGCTATTTTTTCTCAATCTAATCTAGAGAAATACCCCAACTCATAGCATCTGATTCATGATTTCTTCCAATTAGATACGAGAATAATTTGGAAAGCCACTGCCAGGGAATCATAACATATAATGTAAGGAAGCAAAAGTGCCATTAGCTTTCAGTGGACCTTGGTCACACTTACTATACATACTTCCTGCAAGCTAATAGATGGTGGCAGTCGCCATTTTGAATTCCCCATGGATGTTAAGTCAGCTGAAGTATGAAAAATGATGAACATTCAATTTTTACCTTTTCCTATATCTTATACATTTGAATTTATTTATTTACTTATTACTTATTTATTTATTTACTCAATTATTTATCTTCTAGGTATGTTTGGAGTACAACTTTCTGCTTCTGAGAACTAGAGTACTCACATTTCTGGACAGGAGATATGGAAAGATGGGGGAAAAAACTGATTACAGTGAAGATCAACAACTGATAGCCCCTGAATAAAAATCAATTATTTGAGAAATACCATCTGATTCCCTTTCATTGTCAATTTGGATAGACAGAAGTCAACAGTGAACTGTTCATACAAATTCACCACTGACAACATTTATCTCATGATCAATTGTCAGGTTCCCTCCCCCCCAAAAAAAGTTCCTCCTAAGACTGAAGATCTATTTTAAAGAATATTAAAAGAAAGATAGGCTATAAATAGTAAGCGTAACCCTAAGTGCGTAGGGGCCTTCTACAAATGATCCTTACTCTACCCATTGTCTTTCATTGGCAGGTTGGCTACTGGAAAGATATGGAACAAGAAGAAGCATCAGAGAAGGCCAGGTCAGAAGGCAATGAGTCCTCCGTCATCCTCACAGGGCTAGAAGGCAACACCCTGTACCACCTGAGAGTGAAGGCATACAACTCAGCAGGCTATGGACCACCAAGCAACACCGTCCATGTGGCCACTAAGAAATCTCGTAGGCTACCAATTTTTGCCTTTCAATTCTCCTTTTTCTCTCTCTTTTTTTTTAAGCTACATATTAAATAACGAGACCAAGAAAAGGACTCTTGACTTGTTGTTAGCATAATCCATAACCCCATTTCAAGGGCCAAGAATTAAAAAAAAAAAGTAGTTATTAATGTTATTTGTGAGCGACAAGTAATTATCTTTCTGGAAAACAAAGCTAAGTATTTTTTACATGGAACAGCACAAGGAAATGTAACGAGTCATCGGTAGCTATTAAGTTTGGAGCAAGTAATTACATTTTCTCCTTGCCTTCCCCCTCCCTGCAGCTTTTGAAAAAAAAAATACTTCAAAATCCTTTAACATGTTTTTTTTTTCAATTTTTTTTTTCCAGCACCTAGTCAAGCACCGAACATTATGTGGGTTCAAGATGGTTCCCATGTTTCCCTCGGATGGGAGCCTGTAAAGCCTTTAGCTAATGAGTCAGATGTCATGGGATACAAGGTCAGTTTATCCCAGATTAACTAACTATCTCCCTCTCTGGTTTTCCTTCATCCTTTTCTATTGTTTCTGCAATAATGCGGAATGTGCAATAATGCTTAGCTCTCACTGCAGCACCAACATTATTTCACATTCAAGGAGTTTTGGAAGAATGAATGCCCAGAAAACTACTGGCATTGTAATAGATTATCATGGTGCTATGGGGATAGAGGCAAGCTAAGTGAACATGGGGCATGGTGGCCGAGGGATTAAGATTCTGGGCTTGTTGGCTGAAGGTTGACAGTTCAAGACTCAAGTATGGGATGAGCTACTTGCCCCAGCTCCTGCCAACCTAGCAGTTCGAAACTATGTACATGCAAGTAGATAACTAGGTGCCACTTCCATGGGAAGGTAACAGCATTCTGTACACCTCGACATATAGTCGTGCCAGTCACATGACCATGAAAATTCTTTGGACAACACTGGCTCCCTCAGTTAGGAAACAGAGGTGAGTGCTGCCCCCTAGAATCAGTTGTGATTAGACATTGGGACAAAGGAGACCTTTACTGTGTTGTTGTTTTTTAATGTAAATGCGAAGGCAGCCCTGGAAAAACTCTAAAGGAATACTTCTGAATTGATTCTGAATGGGAAACAAATGTAAATGTTGTGAGAAAAGTCTAGTATTAACACTTTGTGGCCAGGAAATATATGTTTTTATGAACAGCTAAAGCAAGGGTCTCCAAACTTTTGAGAGCTAGTGAGTAGCTTTAGAATTTTGAAAGCATCTCAAAAGAACTCCCATAAAATTGTTCCAAACAGCAGAGGTGGCTAGTCAAAGAACTTCCACTTTATTAAAACATGTTTCCAGGGGTGGGATTCAAATTTTTTAACAACTGGTTCTGTGGGCATGGCTTAGTTGGTGGGCGTGGCTTGGTGGTCATGTTATTGGTTGGGTGTGGTCAACTCAATATCACATCGAGGCAGGCATCTCCTCGCCTGGCCCCTCATGACTATGGGGATGCTGCAACAGTTGTAAGTGTGAAAAATGGTCATAAGTCACTTTTTTCAGTGCCATTGTAACTTTGAAAGGTCACTCCACACAAGCAAAGTACCAGCAAAGGAGAGGAAAAAAACTCCAGAGACGTTCCTGAGACAGGAAGACTAGTCCTGCCATGAATGTAATAAGGGTTAACGGAGAGGCAGTTTCTGTAAACAACACCAGAATGTTTCCTTCCTGCCTTCCTTACAGGATTAGGCCAGTAATTTCTTCTAACAGCAGGTTTCTGAACTGCTTAGAATGTTAACAACCAGTTCTAGAGAATAGGTGCGAACTGGTAGAATCCCACCCCTGCATGTTTCCCACCAGCCCCTTTGATGACACAAAACATTATCTATCTCCTCAAATTACTGCTGTTTTATTTCTGGGCAAGTCCTGGAGTAATCTTCCATTTTTATTTTCACTGAATATTTCACCAGGTTTAGTGGGACTTTGGTGGGAAGCATTCTTGGAAATAAACATGAGACCCTAGCTAGTGCTGTTTCACTGCATGTTATTTTTCCTTCCACCCCCTTTTCAATTGAAAAAAAAATCTAAATTAATAACAGATAATAATAATAACAGATAATCAGAGTTGGAAGGGACCTTATAGGTCATCTAGTCCAACCCCCCGCCCAAGCGGGAGACCCTACACCATTTCTGACAAATGGCAGTGCAATCTCTTCTTGAAAGTCTTAAGTGATGGCTCTCCCACAACTTCCAAGGGCAAGATGTTCCGTTGGTTGATTGTTCTCACTGTCTCACTGTGAAAGTTTCTCCTTGTTTCCAGATTAAATCTCTCCTTGTTCAGTTTCCATCCATTATACCTTGTCTGGCCTACAGGAGCTTTAGAAAATAACTTGACTCCCTCCTCTCTGTGGCAGCCCCTCAAATATTGGAACATTGCTATCATGTCTCTCCTGGTCTTTCTCTTCACTGGACTAGCCATGCCCAGTTCCTGCAACCTTTCTTCATATGTTTTAGTCTCCAGTTTCCTAATCATCCTGGTTGCTCTTCTCTGTACTTCTTCTAGAGTCTCAACATCTTTTTTATAGTGTGGTGACCAAAACTGGATGCAGTACTCTAAGGCTTTATAGAGTGGTATTAGTACCTCACTTGATCTTGATTGTATCCCTCTGTTAATGCAATTTAGGATTGCATTAGCTTTTTTGGCTGCTGCTCCACACTGCTGGCTCATATTTAGCTGGTTGTCCACTAAGACTCCAAGATCCTTCTCACAGTTACTGCTGTTGAGGCCTGGTTTCACCCAGTCTATATGTGTGTACCTTTGGTTTTTCTTGCCTAAGTGTAGGACTTTACTTTTCTCTATACTGAATTTCATTAGATGAGACACGAGTTCCAGGGTAGCACAGCTTCTGTCTCAGCTTCTAACTAATCCTATCTTCCCAGTGCAGACAATTTTCACTGAAACACAGACTTCAAATGAAGCAGCAACTTTTACTTGAACAAAATTTGTGACTATATTTTACATAGACTGATCCTCAACCAGGGACTATAAACAGGGCAATATGTGTTGCTTGATGCTGTTAACACTACCCCATCTGGCTATTAATTGGAGCAGACTGCAGCAAAAGCCATACCAACACTTCAATTTGACAATATTTGCAGTAGGATTTAAGGAAATGCAGAAGCACGGGATGTCATAAATGCCATTAAAATTAATATTTTCTTTATAGAGCAGAAGTGCAAAGATAGAGATTTGTTATGATTGTGTTGGGGATATCCAGCAATCTGTGCTCAAAACATCTGTTCATATTTTTTTTTAAAAAATGGGTCTTTTGCAAGATTTCAATTTCCTTGAATTGCTGGAAATGATTATTGGGCCACATTAAAAAGATTATATCTATTCAGTTTTATTGGTTGATTTATCCCTTTATTTTCGGACACTTCCATTAAAATATTCGGGGGGGGGGATGCATTTTTCCCCTCTGGAACCATTGCTTTTCTTTAATCTCCAAGGCAGCAAGAGGCATAGGGTGGTGATAGGGTGATTAAGCTAAAACCCATTTTGTTTATTTGCTTTGCTTCAGAGTCTGAGAAGGGTTAAGCAATATTGTGGGGAAAAGCCCTTTAGAAACCACAGATATCTGTTTGGCTTTTTAATTTGCTTTTTTAAAAAACCTGGAAAATTGTGCCACTGAATGTTAGTGGTGCAAATCAGTGGAGTATATAAAACAATTAAAAAGGAAAAAGGTGCCAATCCTTCTATTGAAGAATTACAATGCATTATTATTAGAATTTATTATAAGTTATATATTTAGTTATGTATCTTCTCCTGAGTTTCCCTTTTTTATTTCATTTTGCCTCTTGCCCTTTCTTATTTAACGTCTGTTATTTCAGTAATGTTCAATAGAGGGCAGATATTATATTCACCCACACATCTATTTTCCAAATTAAATGGAAGATGTATAGGATGTTCTCACTTATTCCTTGCACCCATCCCAAATTGTTGTCTTTAGAGCAGTGTTCTTTAAACCTGGCAGTTTTAAGATGTGTGGACTTCAATTCCCAGATTTCTCCATGCTGGTTGGGGAATTCTGGAAATTGAAGTCTCACATCTTAAAGAATGAAGAATGATGAAGAATGATGATCAATGATCAAGCACTATGTCCATATTGGTGTTTCATTTGTAATTTTTGACTCAAATCTGATAATTTCCAGAGCACAGACTTATACAATTCCTTTCTTCATCCCTACCCCAGTTTCTTTTTCCTGCATTCTCCCTCCCTTTAGTTCCCTGTTTACCATTAATTATAATTAATTAGGCAAAGCATCCTGTTCAGTACTAAATGCTACCAGCTGGGTTTCATCTTAGTTACTGTAAATTAGTTTTAGCATTGGCAGAAATATGATAATATTCATGCTTGTACCTGAAAAGAAAGGAATATATAAATCTACAACACTCTCTACCTTACCAACCTTAATTTAAACATGATGGCCTGGCTCGAATAACACACTAAAACATAATGGGTTTGTTGGTTTTGGCTTGTGGTATGATAAACTAGCTATTGCAACTTTAAATATGGTTTCTAGCTTACAAACCTAGTACAATTCATCCTGTTGTGGCTTATTTACCAAACTATGGTTCTCAATAGGCCAATATGTGCAACCTGCCTATTAATTTTATGACAGGATAAATAGACAATAGACAATAAATAGACAAGTATAGTATGACAAATGGTGATAAGATAAGCCAACAAATGGTGCAACAAATGCTTTGCTGCTTTTTTTATAGATGGAAACTAATCAATGAGAGAACCAACCTAGAATTAAGGAGAAATTTCCTGACAGAACAATTAATCAGTGGAATGGCTTACTTCCAGAAGTTGTGGGTGTCCCAACACTGGAAGTTTTTATGAAGCAATTGGACAACCATTTGTCTGAAATACTATAGGGTTTTCCTGCCTGAGCAGCGGGTTGGACTAGAAGACCTCCAAAGTCCCTTCCAACTCTGTTATTCTGTTATAGAACTTGTATGACTCACTAAAAGAGAACCTTCATTAGTCAAATAAATCCTAAATTACTTAATATTTATTCTGTTGCTGTTTTCCTTAATTTGAACTAGATACTTACTGAATACTAAAGTTAGAGTGGTGCAGTGGTGGGATTCAAAAATTTTTACTACTGATTCTGTGGGCATGGCTTGGTGGGCGTGGTTCGATGGGTGTGGCAGGGGAAGGATACTGTAAAATCTCAATTTCTTCCCCACTCCTGGGGGAAAATTACTGCAAAATCTCCATTCCCTCCCCACCCCACTAACCTGCTTTCCAGCTCTGTTCTCCTGTGTAGGGCAACAAAAGAAGATCCAGCCGATCAGCTGGGACTCAGGAGGCAGAGAAGAGATGGGGGCGGGGCCAGTCAGAGATGGAATTTGCCGGTTCTCCAAACTACTCAAAATTTCTGCTACCGGTTCTCCAGAATTGGTCAGAATCTGCTGAATACCACCTCTGGTGCGGTGGCCTAGAAATGGAGCTCTCACCTCACAATCAGGAGGCTGTAAGTTCGATCCTAGGTAGAGGCAGATATTTCTCTCTCCGGGCACAAGGATAATATATCTGCTGAACAAAGCTCTGCATTGGCGATAGGAAGGGCCTCCAGCCATGAAACACTCTGCTAGCTCCATTCAGTTGCCCAGACTCCACCCCGTAAGGGATTATGGGGTCGTTAAATGATGATGATTGAATACTAGAGTTCTATAATTCTCCCTGTTCTCTGACAGGTCCTGTTTAGGCAAGAAGGACACAGCAACAGCCAAGTAATTGAAACACAGAAAACATCTGCAGTGGTGCTTCTCCCTGATGTAGGTGTCTACATCATAGAAGTCTGCGCAGTGAGCGAAGGAGGAGATGGCACACCAAGCAGCCAAATCAGGATACCATCCTTTTCAGGTAAGGCAATGATCAAAATTAGGCTCTCAGTAATTGCATTCTTAATCTGCCACCATGCTTAGACCTTACACCATGCTTAGACCTTACCTTCTTGACTCTTGACAAATGTATCTTTTCTTTTATGTACGCTGAGAGCATTTGCCCCAAGACAAATTCCTTGTGTGTCCAATCACACTTGGCCAATAAAGTATTCTATTCTATTCTATTCTATTCTATTCTGTTCTGTTCTGTTCTGTTCTGTTCTGTTCTGTTCTATTCTATTCTATTCTATTCTACAGAGTGCTGGGCTATAAAACTGAATGCCTTGTGTATTTCTACTAATGATCAATCAGACTTGATATACTATTAATACAGTATGTTTAGATCCGGGGTGTCAAGCTCGTGGCGTCACGTTGTCGTCACGTGACGTATCGCGACTTTTTTCCCCTTCGCTAAACCGGAGGTGGGAGTGGCCAGCGCATGACATATCCGGCTCACAGGCCGCGAGATTGACACTCCTGGTTTATATGCAGACAGTTCTTTGATATTCAATCTGGTTCTCTTCAGCTTGTGACATTTTTCCCCCTGAAATTTCAGAAAAGTCAATTCCAGCAGCTACTTTACCCTTTTTAAATTAGTACGCTGATTTTGTGTGAGCTGTGCAAGGTTGTAGGAGCGAAACCATTGTAGAGAATCCCTTTTCAGGTGGCAGTGTTCTGAATTCATTTCACGTGAAGTGAAAATGCCACTTTATACTGCCCTGCTGAGACCACACTTGAAATATGGCATCCAATTCTGGTCACCAGGATACAAAAACAATATTGAGACCCTAGAAAGAGGCTAGAGAAGAGCAGGTAGGGGATAGAGAAGTGTTTAGATCAGGGGTGTCCAACCTTGGCAACTTGAAGACTTGTGGACTTCAACTCCCAGAATTCCTCAGCCAGCTTTGCTGGCTGAGGAATTCTGGGAGTTGAAGTCCACAAGTCTT